ACAATTGGATGTTATTTAAACTTTAGAAATAAGATGATATTTTATACTAAAAATGGCGTAAGCCAAGGTAACCAATCGATATATTTTTCTTTTTAATTAATTAAATAATTGACTTGATATTTGCCATATTTCAAATTGATTATGTACGCGAAATCAAGCCATTAGGGCTAGCTTTATTGGTATGTAAATGTATTATAAAGAAATATTCCAATACTAAGTAACATTCGAAGAGCAAACTAATAAATGAATAGTACCGTAAATGTGCGTATACAAGACCCGGGTCTCTTACATTCCACCAAAAAAATTAATTAGTAAAAAAAAGAAAACAATTATTAAAAAATGAGGGTGGGTCTGATATAAGGGGGGATTTTGTATACGAACATTTACGGTAGGATTATCTTATATTATTATCACGTATACGTTATAAATTATAATCCACTTATTTCTAACCGCAACTTTTTTATTTAAAACATTTGCGAATGACAAAAATCAAAATACAATATAAAATAAAATCTCAAATCACATAAAGATTTCATCCAAGTCTTGTTCCGTTACAAGTGAAATGTCATCATCCGGGAGATGTAACCACTCTCTTAAATTTTCAGTACAATTGTCAGCTGGAATATAAGAACGAATTTTTTTCTGCAATTTTTCCTGTTCCACAAATTCTTTTCGAATCACTGCAAAAAAATTAAAAATTTTCTTATAACATGAGATGGCATCAAACGTAAGTGGAATAATGCATGAGGCCAATTCAACAGCCAAATATTTTTTTTTGTTTGCAAGAGAAACAGCAAACAATGTGAGACGATCCCCTATGACTTGGATACTATAGGTTTTTACATTTTTTGCGTCTTCAATGTTACAATCTAAGTTGTTGCCAAGAAGCCGACATAAATTGCAAATAGCCATTATCAATAGTTTTTTTATATCGCCAACCGTATGCTTTTTTGTGGATCTATACGGAGGCCCAGATACTTCAACGTTCAATAGTTCCCTTGCGTCTGATAATCTGAGAATAAGTAGATCTGTTTTTCATTCCCCAATATTGCTCATAAACATGTCATTTGCATCTTTGATTGATCTCACATCTTTTTTTATCCACATATATTTTATATCAGGAAATGCATTGTGAAACGCGCGGAGAATTAGTGACAAACATTCAACGATATAAGATCGTTCAAGCATATCACGATCCAAAACTTTTGGCATTAAATATTTAAACATTGAGACAAAGTCCAGCAATGCATATCTTATAAAGAATATGAATCTATCTTCCTCTGTTGTTTGGTTATCCTCAATCTTTGTCTCTAAAATTATTTTAGATTCAATTTCAGAATATTTTGTTTGAAATATTTTCTCAAGCTTTTCGACTATTGAATCCTTTATAGCCAATTTGTTCCCCATTTGGAGCATATTTTTAACTTTTTCGTAGGCTTGTTCTTCAAGAGTTTCCTTAACAAGGTGAATTGTTGTATTCAAAGCACAAATTATATGTGCAGAATATTGATAATACGTTGATTTTGTAATTATAGGTTTATTAGGTGTCGTTAATAAAGTACATTTGATTGAACAGGTTGTTGGGTCAGGCGTTCTTTCGTGAGAAACAGGTTTATCACGGACATATCGTTTTGAACTTGCATTTTTATACTTGATATATTCCAAAAATATTATTACAATTGAAGCATATAAAAAGCCAAAAATAAACCCAATGACTTACTTCTACATAACCATCAGAATCTGATGAGTTTGAGTATTCAGCATAGGCAACATTCTTTGTTTTTCTGAGTTTCATTCCGCTTGAGGGTTCTCCTTGATTTCTCGATGTTTGTTGCTTGTTCTGTTCACTTTGGGTGTGATTTCGAATATTAGAAAGAGAGGTGATGATTGGAAAGGCTTATTTAACTTCTGCATTGCAATTTTCATTTACTCTTATTCTCTTTCGTTTCTGTTCCACAGAATCAAACTCCGTATCAGCGTATACTTGAAATCCTCGTCGCGCTATCCGGAGACCAGCTTGTCCTGCAAATAGTAAGTTCAATATAAGGTCAAAAAGAAAAAGTCACTAAAATACGTCAAAAAAAAATATTATCATTTGCCTTGTCAAGTTCCGATTGCAGCTCGATCAGTTCGGATTCCACCTTTAATGATGCAATTTGATCCCTTGTATTCCAAATTTTTTTGTTTGTTGCATCCATTGTACTATTCTACATAAAAAAAAATATTTTAAAAATGAACCCAAAAGATTTAGTAAATATGCTTTTTTTGAGATGTTGAGTGGGAAGGAAGCCCACAATAAGCCACGGACACTCGGCCCTCCCTCATTGACACTCGGCCCATGAGTTTAGCTCAAGGAAACATTCCTTGTCTGAATACTCGGCTCAGCCCAATGTTTCTATGACCACGTACACACAGCACTACCCATTAGTTTTACACACAGCAAAACCTTCTCAACACTCGGCTGCTAGATTAGCCATAGAGTACATTGACACCACCCGATAAATTAATAAAATTACACCTGCAAATCTTTCAGCAATTTATGGATTTTATTATAAGCAGGGTGAGTATTTTTTTCAAATATCTCAACTCGTCAGCTAAGGCTTTGTGAGAATCATGTTTAGTAATAGATGATGATTGCGGTTGCTTTTCGATCCAATAAGTATCCCAGTCGTTTACTCCCCAGGTGTTAAAATCCCGAGTCCAGTAATCTGAATAGCAAAAGCTTGTATTAAATTTTTTTAAGTAAAAATAGGAAATAGGGAGTAGACTAACCTGGATGTCTTAATTCTAAGCAATCTATACTTGACATGTTCGAAAATTACGAGTAAAAAAAAAATTTCGTTAACAATACACTGATTTTCACCCCTTAAAGATAATTGACCGATTTTAGAAAAATAACATGCTTGTGCCCCGTATTACACTAATTACCGTTACATCCTGGGAATATACCATAAATGGAGGGTACCCTTATCGTTATGTCATAAACAGAAATTCGTCTGATTGGAATGCAACGTTTGTAAAAAAAAATTTTTACACAATTCGCTTCGTTTTAGTGCCAGAAGACCACCTTTAAAAATAATCTTAAATAATCTTAAATTTAAGTGGTGTTAGCTTAGACACGACTTTCTGAATTAGGTAAAGAAAAAAAAGGGGTTGTTTGAATTTTAACACGCACTAAAAAAAATAGTTACTAACAAATAGCAGGTTTTTTTTTAGAGATCGGAATTTCAGATTTGGCTTTTGAAGCGGAATAAGCTTGTTGGTGGTGTTAGCAATAAGAAATTTAGGGTTAAAGCACTCTTAAGTTGGGTTGGTTTTTAAGTTTGGGTTTATAGATCGTAGATATGAGCTTGGGTTCTTAGATAGTTATGTAGTTAGATTTAGTAAGTTCTGGTTGTTTTAGTAGTTGAACACCGTTTTTACATATTCGCCTATCTTTTATATGTATATAATCAGTATTTTTACCGATTTTTATAAACTTTTTTCTTGAAGCTTTCGTTTTTAGTCTGTAATATTGTGTAATTTATAATCACGTGTAATTTATAATCACGTGTAGATTTGCAAATCGATCTAGCCAATCAGACAAACTTCTGTTATGTCAAGCAAATCCCGAGCTGCCCGGAGCCAAAATATTCCATTTCTTTAAACTTCTAGCGACGATTTCTCAGTAACCAATCATTCAAATTTAATAAAACTTTTTTATTTTGATTCTACAGATTTTTAAAATTAAAATAAAAAAAAGTTCATTGAATTTGGTTTAGTGATTGTCGAGAAACCTTCGCTAGAAATTTTGAAAAAGCTTGAAATATCTTGAAAAAAAATCCAAAATTGGTAAATTTTTCTTTTACAATGATTTCTCAACACCTATCTGTCCAAATTCAATGAAAATTTTTTTAATGATTCTGCAAGTATGTAGGATTAAAATAAAAAAAAATTTTCCGAATTTGAATAGACAGACGGATGTTGGGAAATGTTGATTAAAGGCTAAAAAAAAATTGACCGCAGCTTTTTTTATTACGGATATCTAAAATTTGAATGAAGATAACTCGGCATTTATCTAATCAAATTCGATCAATTTTTTTATTTTAATTCTATTATATTATAGAATTAAAATAAAAAATTGATTGAATATATCAGGTAAGTGCTGAGTTATCTTCATTCAAATTTTAGATATCTGTAAAAAAAAAAGCTGCGGCCAAGTTTTTTTTAACTTTTAATCGATATTTCTCAATATCTGTCAATTCAACTTCAGTAATTTTTTTATTTTAATCTTGCAAACTTGCAGAATAAAAACAAAAAAAAAAAAATCATTTAATTTGGATAGATAGTTGTTGAGCAATTGTCGATTGAATTTTAAATAAATAATTTTATTGCAATATTCTTAAATTTTTTTACAAAACTTTAAATGATGATTTATTTCTCAACACCCATATATCCAAATTCAATTAATTTTTTTATTTTGATTATGCAAGTATGTAGGTTAAAATAAAAAAAAAAATTACTGAAATTAAATAGACAGGTGTTGAGTAGTAATGCCTGACGAAACCCGGACCGTCTACGGACACGTATAATTTCACGTGATCTGCACGTATCGAAGATCACGAATTTTTCTTAACTTTTGTACAATTTTCTCAACTATTAGGCCACGCAAAGTTGATTTTTCGTTTTGCATTACCCGCCGTCCCATTTTTTTAATTTTTCAAAAATTTTTTTTTTTTTTTTAGATCCCAATTATGCCAATTGTTCGATTTTTGACATCTATTTTTTTCTGCTATTTTCATCCGGTATCACCTGACGGAGACATTAATTTCCCGTAATTGTCTGATAGGACTGGCAGGAAAAATATGACTGCCGGTCCAATTTTTTGATTCCTTGTTGTCAAATATAACCTTAAATGTGATCATTATTCTATTTGCAGTAAATTGAATTTAAAAAAAAAAAAAAATCCGTCTGTTCGTCCCTAATTTTTAAATCCATGTAATGCAAAACGAAAAATCAACTTTGCGTGGCTTTATACAATGGAATTTGATGGACAATTTTTAAATAAAATTATTCGAATTGACAGAACTTATTTAAAAAAAATTAATTGAATTTCATTGAGTAGTTGTTGAGAAATTTTCATCCAAACTTAGGGAAATTTCGAAAAAAATGTGAACATAAAAAAAAGTATGTTCAAAAAATCATATTGTCTTTTGAATTCCCAACACTGGTCCCAATGCGTCAAATTTCTGCAGCATCTCTAGTCTCGAAATAATTTCTCGGATTATTAGTATATCAGCAATAGCAGGGACGAGACTTTCTACGTTACGTGAAATACCGCAAAAATCACGGAACTAGAATCTAGCTGTAGAAAGTATTAGAACTAGGCAGTGCCTTTTTTTGTCGCATTGTAAAATTAGTATTAATGATATTATAAAAGTATCCACATAATTTTAAGTGAAATAAAAGAATTAAAGCTATTATCTTTAAAATAAGCTGAAATATAATTTAAAAATTATATTTCAGCTAAGAGAATTCTTTATGAATAAAATTTAAAGTTTATACTTCAGCTAAGAGAATTCTTTATGAATAAAATTTAAAGTTTATAGAGGTCAAAAAGTATAATTTTTTGTGTCTTTTTGGTTTCGATTAACTTTGTCCCGCTAGAATTAGATATTAATATAGACTAGGAAGAATTTGAATAATATTGTTTTGAGACCATGAATTTTCCTTAACAGAGACTACAAATTTCAGAGTACAGTTCTTATGATATTTAGGCGAATAAAAAAGGAAGATATCCAATTAGAGGACGTAAATCTTGTTTATCCTGAATCACCCGATATGTAAACTAAGAGAACAGAAAAAAGAAAGAAATACAAGAAGATAAATGTTTAAATCGGCCTTGTAGCACTAATTAAAAATGACAGGATGAAGTTTTACATATAGGAATTCTCATCTTTCTTTCTACAATCCAGCGTTGGGAATGCTACTATGCATATCGGCGGATTTTGGAATTTGATAAATAGAAATACCCAAATTTGCAGATCATTTGGCCAGCTTTGAAGTCAAAGAATTTCAAAGCTGGCCAAATGATCTGCAAATTTGACCAGAGCTATGGCTCATGGGTTTTTCTATTACAAATGCGCCGTTATGGTCAGAATCAAAGTTTGATTATTAGATAAAAGGATAAATGAAATGCTAGTTATAATAATTTTCGCTTAAATATTGCATAAAAATAGCGTTAAACTAGCAGAATTATTTATAAGGCAAAGTTTCAACAGAGTAGCTCTCTAAAGCTAAACAAACATCTTCTATATTAAGTAATGTTTATTTGACATCATAGTGGTTTGTTATAACAATAAGCCATTTCATACAAAGAAAATTAAATTTATTAAATATAATTCTCGTTTATAATTACTAATTTACCTAAAATCTACTTCACCTTAAATTTTGCATATTTTCAAATTTGTTCCAATACTATATAGTTATTTGGAAGGTGGTACAATTATATCATGATCTGTGTGATCATGATATTATTGTCACACTGACAAATAACAAAAAGTATCTGAGCCAGAATTTGATTGGTTGATGGCTGGGCCCTGTGGGGCCCAGCCATCGACCGATCAAATTCTGGCTCAGATACGACAGTTATTGGTGCGTAGCATCTAATAATGGTATTATCCGGCATTCGATGATGATCGGGTACCTTATAACTCAAATTAATGTAAAATCAAATAATAAAGTATACGTAATAAAAGCAAATTACAGCAAACTCTTTCCGGTTCACCCCTGAAAATTATTGACAATAGTAAAAAGTAAACAAAACCTTTGCAAGTTTTTAGTATTATAGTAATTCATACAACATGCCCTTCAGGCAAGTAAGTTATTCTGGTATACAATAAGTAATTACAATCAGCAAGATAGAGAGAATCTACAGTACCCAAGAAACACAAGTTCCTCAAGCCTCAGCTCCTTTGGAGCTTCCCAACAACATGTCACAACAAAAAACATACTTTCAGTCGTTCTCAGAAAAGTTATTCGGCATAGCATCAACAAACAAAACTGATACAGACCTAGAAGCACCTTCTGAATTATTTACTCAACCCACACCACAGATTACTCCTATTACACCTAGCAAAAACTTCACCAACTCCAAAGATCGTTAACACTATTACCGACACGCTCCATACAATAAGCCAAAAAGTAGGCAATCTAGTTCACACCTGTTTGTAGATTACATGAAAGCACATGATACCAATATGACATCATTAATTCACACTAACAACACAACAAACCCGGATTGGTCAGGCCCCGACACCAATGCCCTAGACGAAATGGAAATATTTCCACACTTAGAACAAAACAAACAAATCCAACCAGACCCGGTCCACTCTAAGATCCCTGAACCCCAAGTAGTGGATACAGACCCACAACCTTTACCGATCTGAATACCAGAGGGCTACTGACTCAAACAACCAGACCACTTCAGAAAGCCCCTATCTTATAGCCAAGCCACTCGCAGACTTGCCGCACTTAAACCTGATCTACAATTAGCAACATCAGCTCTTTGGAGCCAAAATATAGTCAACACACTTGCCCAAAGGAAAAAACCATTTGACACCCATTAGTGGAGTAATAATAGAACTCTCGATGTATTTAAAGATGAAGCAAATATGACAGATTTTCTAAAACATAAGGCTAGTTCACTACCTACCTCAACCTACCTATAGCAATCAATTCCAAATTCAACTACTATGATACTGCCTTCTTTAAATCATTCACTTGCGTTAAAGAGTCCATATCCCAACATCAGCGGAAGTTTGAAGCATT